GACACGTCATAGCTTAACACGTCATCGCATGCCTGCACGCCAGGATTGGGAGGTGCGACCGTACAAACAGTGACCAATCATTAACCTCTGTTTGTTTAACATAATCCCCCATCCTGATCATGATTAAGCTTCCTGCGTGTACACTTTATCCACAATATACCCACCTAATAAACGTGCTCCGTGCTACACGTCTGTTTCCTTTCATAGCTGGGCTATAGCTTAGCTGGTTCTGGGAGTCTAGCTGGATGTTTGAGAATCTGCCGTAGAGATTTCTGAGTCAGTCAGGCTTTACTAAGGCAGCAATCCGCTACAATTTTAACTCACTTTCTTCATAGGATAATTTAATATCTCCCCTCTTAAATAAAAAAAGTCATAGAATAATTTGCAAATAAAATTTGAGGTTTTGTTGAATTTATATCTAGTTGAGTGGGCGGATACGCAGGAATTCACATTCAATTATTTTTCGTTCTCTGGGAATGTACGTAGTTGCGCAGGTTCATTATAATTTCTATGCAATGACAATTGCCGTTAATATTAATATTAATTCTCATTGGGTAATTTAGATATTGTGCAGTAATGGGAGAATTAAAATAGATATTTTTGTAAGTAATTTGAACATGACTCCTTCTTAATTATGACTCATAAATGTTCTATTTTAAATAATTTAACAATTAAGCGACCGATTATCCTAATTCTACTTTTATACAAAATTATTCTTGAATCCCAACTAATTGGACTACGTCATGGATCATAGATACGTTGAATAATGTAACCTCATGTTATTAAATCATGTCATTACGTTTCGGAACAGCTTTTATCAACCATTGTTTCAGAAAAGGAAAGTGGCCACTAACAAATTATTGATCAGGGTAAATAAACATATATTTTATTGTTATCACAAATTATTTTGAATGAATTGAGGAAAAGAAAAAATATAAAAATTAAAACAAACTATTATGCAAAAAATCACATCTTCTTTAATTGTGGTGCAATTAGCTTAAAAATTAAGTTTCCGCAAAACAGAATGCAGCAATACTTTTACAGGGTACGACTATTTCAATGAAAAGGTTGAACAGTCCCAATTGAAAATGATAGATATGCTCCGATCAAATCTTTCCTTCATAGGAACTTAAAAGCTATCCGTGTGTAGATACAAGGAAAAAATCAATTTAATGTGACTCCAACCCAATGAACTTGGATAAAGGCTGGATAAGGAGCTATGAGATGGAGGTTTAAGAGAGTTATTCTATTTAGTGCTCTTATTCTGGTGATAGAATATTAATTAATTGGTATTTAATGCTTTAATAGTGTAAGCTCCCAACAATACACCTGCTTTCAGGATCACCGATTGATTTCGTATACTGACTACGTGATCGTATTGATCTTTTCAATTAGTTGCGACGTTGGGTTCTGCCAGCTCAATTTATGTAATTTTTCAGAAAGGTGTTAAATTGTTTAAGAAGTTTGCACAAGACCTACTAGGAGAAACCATGGGACAGAGTGACTTGATCTACCTATTTTGATGTCAAAATTTTCGATCTGAAGACGCTATGGCTTCAACTTTCTGTATTTCCAAGTTTTCAGTGTTAGAGGAAGCATAGTTCACTAATTTAATTAAAAGAGGATTAATGCTAAGCTCTTTATACTGCGGATTTTGTTTTAGGTGGATTTTGAGATCCCAATATTGGTAAGTAAAGTACATTTTGATCTTCGTTAGCTATTGAAATTTTGCATTTGGCTGGGGGTTGACTTGGTGACATTCTAGATTTAATGTATTAACTGAAAAACACACATTTGAAACCCAAAGAGTTGAGTTTATGCATTTGAACCAAAACCATATTTATTATAAAAATAAGTCCTTTATACAAATTAGATATCGACTGCAAAATACCAAATTACCAAAGTTACATGAGTTTGTCTTTAAAAATTGCCAAAATTTTAAAGAGTACACAAAAACCAATTGGAGCTTTGCTTACTAAAGTCTGAATTCAACTTTTGTCCCGATTTAGGAAAAACTCATTTAATTTATCAAATACCCAGAAAAGAATGTTTTTATCATTATAAACGGTTACTCACTACAAAAATACTCAGTAATGATTAAGCAATGATGTAAATTAATTAGTAAGCGACTATCATATTAACCCATAAAAATATTTGTAAAGAATAAGTAAAATCGGGCACATGATTTAATATCTTTTAGTATATGCTTAAATTTTGCCTTCATTCGAGTGTTTCCTAATTGCCGCCCAAGTTAAAGGGCAGCCTAAACAAGATAAACAAGGGCATGTCACTTCTTTTGTGAAATTGGCTTCTGAAAGCTGTATTTGGCATTGAGAAATACCAGCGTGTTACATCTGCGGCCTTGAAATTTCACCAATGGGCGTGACGTGATGATGTCACTGTTTTGGTTTTAACTCACACACACACACACACACACGTACATATTTGTGTTACGTCTCTAGCAAATGAAGTGCAAAAGAAGTTCAATGGGCCTATCAAATGGGAGCCAGAAATCACCCACGCAACCTCCCATATAAGAGCTCTGAGCTCGAGACCATGATTGCACATGGTCAGATTAAAACATGACTAAATTAACACAGAAAGCTCAATCAGCGTTTATTTTAACACTTTTAATAGCCTGTCATATCATCTATGGAAAAATTTTTCCGTCTCTGAAATGTGGTCCAGCTCCAGACACCCCCGAGATTCATCAGTTTCTCGCTTCCTCTCCAATTGTTCTCCATGCTCGAATTCAAGAAATGATTCCGGCAAAAGGACCTGAATTTGACTTAATAGCCCTTATAACTCATATTGTTATTAAACCAGATAATATGGACATGCCAAAGAGGGTCATTCTTCGCCGATTCTTTCTGGCAGATAATGGATCCTCAATTAATCCATATTCGGATAAATTTGGATGCCTCGAAGTTTTCAAACCATATGCAAAATACACCTTTCTTCTTGGAGATACGGGAGAGACGATTAGTCACCGTGGGAACCAATTAGTTGTGCTTGCTCTGTCTGGACCTACTCTAACTTACAGCGAGAAAATAAACCAGGATATTCAAAAATTTCTCTGCAAATCGTGCTGTAAGTGGTAACTCATTTTTTATGTCTGTCAAAATGCCAACGCAAGTTACTCAATATGGCATCTAGTGCTTTCCCATTTAAAAAAAGCGACGTGCAAGCATTTAAAAACAGCAATGATTCCTTAATTAAGTTATCTGATGCTTAATGTGCCTTACATTAGATTATTGAAAATTAACTTGTTGAAGTAACTGCATTATTTACCATTGTAATCCCAGCTAATGGGTATGGAGGTTAATTGAACATTAAGCTTTGAAATTTAAAAAGGCCAAAATGCAATCCTTTTTACCGAATTCGGATTATCAAGGTAATTATTACTTTTAAATAACACCATAATTTATGGATGATTATTTAAAAAAAGAAAAGGACCCTTTAATCAACCCAAAGAAATAAAAAAACGGAGTTATATATGAAGGTGATGTTGAGGCGACTGATTGACATTCGTTGAGTTTGCCAAGTATATTACTCTTCATATATACACTGTCTATTTATTGGCTTGCTTCAGATCCTCCAAGGTTGAACTCATTTGAGAAAATGACGATGAATTTCGGAGATAAAATTTCCACAACATGCATTGCTGAGGGTGATCCGTTGCCAGAGGTCTACTGGTATAAGGATAATTACCCAGTTGATGTTGTGAATAGTGATAATAGTGTAAGCGTCGACGTTGTACAGTAAGTTTTCGTTTTAAAGAAATAAATTTATAATTCTTAAAATGCTTTATCTTATTAACAAATTGACTTATGTGAATTTTGCTTGATAGTCGCTTAAAAATTGACGAATCAATTTAGTAGGTAGAAAAATATTAAAATTCGATGGTTAATTCTGTTCCATTAGATTATTTCATTCCAACAATAAAAAAATATAATTTTGTTCAGAAGTTTTCAAGCCTAAAAGGAGTTAGTATTTTTTGGTGGTTGCCCTCTTACAATCGCCTCTCAAACAAATTGGATTTACATATTTATCGATGAGCGTGTTAAAATTCTAATTTCGGAAAATTTTAAATTTATAAAAAGAGATTATAAAACGTTTAATAGGATATTTATTGCTCCCAGTTAATAAAAATGCAAAAGTATGGAACTATTTTGTTGTGTCTCTGCGATGTTTGCGTTAAATAGGGAAAAAAAATAAGCAAAAATTCATGGATTTCGAGAGTACCGAATCCCAAAACTACCATAAAATCGATCATTAGTCTGTTCCATTTCATAACGTTTAGTATTTTCAATATAATAACTATGAGGTTCAAAGGAAAGCAAACGTTTTTTATTCTGATGCTTCGAACATGTTGAAAAACAGTTCAAATTGAAAGCTTATTCATATAGGTAATGCAATCAATAGTTCACTGGGTTAAAGTAATATAAAGAACGTATCCCTTTTTTTAAAATTCCACACAGGACTTACTTTTTGTTGTGATATAAGGTTCCAATGGAAGGTGGAAATTGCTAGCTTGAATGATTGAGTCTTAAGCCAGATTTAGAAAATTCAGGAGGCAGCATTTATACATAAAAATATTGGGAGTTCACCATTAGGGAACAAAGATAATGTGAGTTGTGGGAATCAGACGAATTGGGATACGCTAGGGTTGGTGACAAATATTGGGTCTCATGTTTGTTAAAAAAATAAATGACTGTTAGGGGGAAGAAGGAGAGTTCAATATGGTGATTAATAAAACGAGGGATTTGAGTCAGAATGCTAGGCTCTTGTAAAATTTCTAACGAGGAAAGTGGGTGCTTTACATTTATTACAAAGAGGTAGAAAAAAAATCTTAAAAAAATTATTTTTGGGGCGTATTTGAAGATGTAGACCTCAGTGCTTCTTCTATGCTATATTTGTCGAATTACGTGGTATATTCACACTGAAAATAGATTAACATCTTCCTCATTAAATTACTACAATGCAATCAATTTTTTTGAATACTTAGTTACTTGCAGACCAATTGCATTTGAACTAATATTTTTTAAGTTTCCCCCCAAATTCTACTTTTAATATGAAGTGAGATACGAATTATCGAATGTATTTGTTAATATTACTATTAGTTTAATGTAGAAAGAGGATAAACTGAAATTTTAATTAACTGAAGCGTTTGATAGGGAAGATATTTCCCTGACTATTTTCTTTTGGCATTTTTTCGTCACAGTTGGCTAAACGACGTCTGCGAGAATATGACCTAATTGAGAGTGGAATAAACAAAACACAACGGCCATGTATGGATTGTATTTATTTGGACATTTTCATGATGTTGTTTACAAAAGTACAAAGCCATCTCCATTCAGTAGATAGAGAAAAATAAACGATATAGTTAATCATGCTATAACATGACTAAGTATAAAAGAAAAAAATGAAACTTTAGTCAAAAGAGCCAACAGTAAACTACTTTTTGAAGAAGAATATTTAAATTATTTGTTTATTTGTCTTATTTGTCTCACAGGGCTGCTTAATCTTTCCAAATTTTCATTCTCTTGTAGGACAAATGAGCACGTTGTGCAGGCGATTTTGGAAATAGACAATCTCATTTTGTTGGATACTGGTGATTACGTTTGCAAAGCAAAAAATTCCCTTGGAATTGCACAATCGACATTGCCACTTAGAGGTAAGTCAACTACATTTGTGCTGAATTCAATTGTTCATATAAGAATTGACTCGAAACCAAAGCACTATAATTGTAATATTTGACCTCACTCTTATATATCTCTTGAGGCCAATATGGTCGATACATGTCCTTCTTAAAGTAAAACAGTCAGTATATTTAAAAAATCAATTTATAGCTTATTTTTGATACAGATAATCAGTGCCTTTAATAAGTGAATGTGTTTATTTATAAATGACTTTGATAGCGATGGAGATAGCTCACGAATAATTAACCGACTTTGCAGCTCATTTATTCTGCCAGGAAGGGTCTCAATAAGACAGATATTATTTCCTATAGAGCACTGCACTGAGAAAAAGATATCTTGCAGACTTATTGTGGAAAGTGCCAATAACACTTGACCTTTATGGATAGCTACGGATAAAAAGCACACTTAATAACACCTGTGTAATAAGTAATTCATTTAACTAAATTTGGCTTGATAAGTATCGATTTTGTGGTCTCTGAATTGACAAACGTGTTGACTGATATCCGTTTTGTCAGCGCACTACTTCAAACTCAATGTGGAGAGTGACTGCATCAAGTGCCTTGAATAGAAAAAAAAGATATCGCGAAGGAGCTCTCGAACATAATTATTCTTCCAACAAACCCTGCCTCCACTCGCTCACCCCACTGGATGCGTGGTTCAAATTGACCTTCATAATGCGCATATTACGCTGTCACAGTAGCATCTTGATAACTTTAATAAATTGCCCCCCCCCCCTAGGTCTCTGTTTCCACTTACTGCTTTAGAAGGAAAGTATTAACTAAATGATGTAACCGTGATTGGATTTAGTTTTACTATGATTTTGGAAAGGAGGTTTATCCTTGATTTAGCAGGAATAAAGCCAACTTGAATATAGCCATGATAATTGAACTTTGTACTTCCATTCAACTAGAAGAAGAGGAGGAAATTAGCCAATCAAATCTTCCCATAAAAATCATTTCTAATAGTGTTTTGACATGTGCATGAAAAGATGGCAGTCATATACCAAGGGTATTATATATGTTAAACTTACCACTAACTATATAATGATTGTTGTTTGTCTTGAATTTTAGTCAGAAAACCAGAATTGGCTAATCGAGAGGAAGAACATGTAATGGGTAAGTCATGTCTGCATTATAAGCCTTAATATAATTAAACTTCCGGAAAATTAATATATCCAAACTCGAAAAAAATTTTTTTGATCGATCGTAGCAAAAAAAATCAGCTAGGCTAGTAACTTTTAATTGGAAATTTAAATAACTATAGTACAACCTTCAATGGCACATCTGTTTGGGAACTCACTGAGTATTTCAGTTATTCTAAGGCGAAAAGGTGAATCGATCCCATGAGGTCGAAAAAATAGAAATGTAATCAGAACCCGCGACTGCTAAATTGTAATATGCTAAACCGTATTGTGTGGAATATTACAATTCATTTTGCCAACGAGTCCAATAAACTGGAAAAGAATGTATAAATTGATTTTAGTTTAATTAGGTTAATATTTGAGTAATACAAGGAACCTAATGCATTTTACCTCCATTTATTACTAGTGACAATTTACTTTTAGACGCAAAATGAACTTACAATCTTTCTTCCATCTGAGCTCACTTAATAAATTAGCATAACCTTTTATCTAAGAAATATTGATTACGTTTATTATCTATTTTAAATTAAGATACAAGAGACTTCGAACCATGTGATCCTCATGAAAATCACTGTTTCAATGATGGCCAGTGCTTTTTCAAAAAGTCTAATCCTTCTAACAGACGCTGCAGGTACTTATTCAGTTATTTTCAGAATTTTAAAAAGAAAATTTTAATAGAATTTGATTTTTTTCATTCTTCAGCTGCCAAGAAGGGTATATGGGTGATCAATGTCAGTTCCGAACAACCGGAATATGTATGTTTTAGATGCATATTTAATTGTCAAGGTGTCATTATTTTCAAATTAATTATTCTAATATATATTTAATTTGTTTTAAGCTGTTCCAAGTAATACACATTCAGAGCCATATTTTGCAGCTAAATTCTAGTCAAATTTCAATTTGAGCTGGCTTGCCTAATCTTAATTTAAAATGGCAATTAAACAAACGCCCGATTAAATAATGTAACGCAGTATATTTCGATTATGCCTGTGATGTTCCCATGATTTCTGTGCAGCCAACGAATAATACCTTAAAATTATTAAAAAGTGCACTGATTTTGAGATTGTTTTATCGATTGCAAAGTGATCTAAGGCATATCAATTATAATAGATTGAAGAGGGAGTTATGAGAGATTTTTCTAAAAGTTTTATCCATTCCGACACAACTTTCCAATTTTGACATGATAGATTTAGTTCCGTGGCTGACATTAATGGGAACAGTCTTGCTCTCAATATGAGCTAATCATATGAAAGTCAAACATCTTTTATTTCTCCCCGAAAATGTTGACTTATACGCTTCTGTGTGCTTGACACTACTGAATCATAGTTTTACCAACGTAATTTTAACTGACAATAGGCAATTTTAAATATTTTCAAACTGTTTGGAATTCGCATCTCTTAAAAAATGGCAGGAAAGTTTTCTGCGTAGGTGGCTTAAGTGATAGAAAGCTTACATGTAAGTAGCAATTGAAAGTTGACTATTATTAGTAATCTTAAAAATTAGTCCCATTTAATGAAAACCCGGAATTGGATTGATGATATAAAAGGCGGCTTTCAGTTCTCAAAACACTTGAATAAAAAGTATTATTTGTTTCTTGAACCAGCATTTCTGAGTAAAAAATCAACTTGATATGAACATTTTGGGAGACAGATAATAACTTATTTCAAAGAATTAAAATATTTCAATCCTCCTCTTGTTCATTTAATCTTTCAAGTAAATTAAAGAAGCGATGGGCAGTATTTTTTGAGTTCTCCTTGAATGAAATTAATTGAAAGTTTGGAAATTGTTCCATTCAATTTTACTTTGCAATAATACCTTCCAAATGCCTTCTGACTTATATTTCGAATAGTGGGTTAGTGTACAGGGGTCCTTAGATAGGAAAAAATACAGGTCTCTGATGTGGGTTTTTTTAGCAAGATAATAGTCATGTTATCCTCCTTTTAAAGTGTTTACGTGTTTAGCTTTAGTACTTGAATGCTAAATTATCCTGTTATTGGAGCCTTCAAGGCAATTTCTAATTGAAAGCTCTGATAGGGGAAAAATTGACATCGAAAAGCATTTTTGTCGAATTAAATTTAAACAATGTCGGTGTTATTTTTGATTTTTCACCTTGATTTTATGCTCGTTCTAACTCGATTCACAAATTGAGCAAAGTATCATATTCTTATTTTACGCCAAGTTAATAATTCCCACACGAAAAGTGTTCAAAAATCGATAAAATTCTTATCATCGTTAAAATGCGTGTCAATTTATTTTCTTTTTTTTCACTAGTTTCTTCAACGTTGCCGAAAGAAAAAACTGATCACTTCTGGTTACAAGTTACCCTCCAGTTTATCTATATATCAATATTTGCTCTAATTGTCATTGGCATCATCCTATGCTTCAGAAGAAAAGATCATCAGGCAAGGTAACCGGAATCACAATTGATGAATTATAACAATTAAAACAATACTTGTTGTTATTATTAAACTAGTAATGGATGCTTCATTAATTAATTTTTTATACCCAATTAAAACTTAATAAATCTAACAATAATGAAAAGAAGATTTATCGTTTCTGGAAATAATCTGTTATTCCAGAAACTTTTCGAATATAAATTTTTAAATTTTAATTTCTGAACTAGACACAAAACACTTCGAATTACATCTATACTAAACCTCAGGTGTACTTTCTAGTAAAATTCCCTAAGTGAAAATGTTCTGGAAATCATCCAAGCTACTTCATCAATATCAAGTAGGCATAGTGTATTGAGTGTATAGGGTCTATTCCAGTTGTGGGACCCTACCACCATGAATAATCAATAAACTACAATAAAGAACACGCTAACGTTGCAAAGACTATTGATTCCTGATTGGATAAGGGAGGCCTCTGTATTTTTCGACCACATTTGCTCCCTATGGCGAATTTTCGATTCTTTTTGAGTGCGCAAGCAATTTATTTGTTTAGTCTTTGTAGTGGCCCATTCCGCACCCTTGTCCCTTACTTGATTATTTGCACCCAAGTCTTTTAGCGCCTTTTCTATTTTAAGAAAATGTAGAGAAACAATTTTGAATGCAATTCTCTGAAGATCATGACGAAATGCTTAAAAATTAAGCAAATAGGACATTTTATTAAAAGTAACACACTTTAATGGCATTAAAATGGGAGCTTCTAGACTGACATGACCATTTATTCAAACAACAAGCTATTACTCTTGGTATTTTAGACAAAAGCGAAAGATATTAACTGAAAACGGAATTCTCTATAAATCTCAAGTGAGTATATTATTGTCCTCTTTTGAAAATTTAACCCAACTTAAATTTTAAAGATAAATATAAATACATTTTAAAGATAATTTTCAGCATTTGATTTAAACAGTTGATTTATTTTGCAAATAAATTCACATTTAAATATAATCTCCATAACCATATTCAATTATCATATACAAAATTACACTTCTTTAAGTGCTTCAATTCCACCTATTTTCTCATCAACAGTATGTCCAAGTTAATACAATCGAACCGCCACCTCCACCAATCAAATCACAGAATTCCAAAAGGGCAGTTTCCCTCTCGAAATCTCAATATTTCTCCGTCATTCCTCAAACTCCTCATTATTCTCACTTGGGAAATGAGTTCACCTTTGATACTTATGGTTTAATCGGTAAGGGAACATTAGAACCATAGCATATTTTTACTAGTTGAGAACAGAGAAAATAGATAATATTTTTTTATTACTTGATTTCAACAAAGAACTTCTCATGCCAAGAACCAAAACTACTCAATTGGGTCTCTTGGCCGAATTAAGGTTTCCTAGAGTCGGGGCTATTAGAATTCCATACCCTATATTCTCTCTCGTGGAACAGAATTAGTACAGGCAGTTGGCCACTTCTAACTTAGTACCTGGATTTTCACCATAGTACTATCAATGAGCACTGAACTTTGAACAAATTGACTGAACTTAGGCTATGGAAAATCTCAGTTTGTCTCAAATATGCTAGCTTCAAAATTCTCTGTTCTTTCATTCGTCCAGTAATCATCATTAAAGACGTGTTAAGTTACTAGCTGGAAAATTTTGCAAAAGTAGTGTTAATTAAGGAGACTGATCTAAATATGATTGACAACATGTAGAATGTTCCTCAAGAAAATTAATGAGATTAACTTACTTGCGGAGCATATGTGCATGAGGATAACACTATTTGTGAAATTGAAAATATTCTAATTAACTTAGAATCATTTCTTACTTATGATTTTCTCTAATAGTCGAGACTAATTTAGTGAATAATAAAAGTTGAGCACAGAATTGAAAAAAACCTTCTGCTTGTTTATATTTGTTTGACAACCATCCTTTCCCTCATTGATATGTTCTCAAAACTTTAGTTGATAGGTCGGTCATTCCTTTAATAAAATTGTCAATTAGACTTAATTGAATTTCCTCATCACTGTTTCACTTTTATCACTTTCATTTTATTACATAGGTAACGGAATACTACCCTCTGACTCACCACAAACATGTCGAACTCGAATAACAACTCTTCCCCAATCACAAAGAGCCAGCTATTCTATTGGTTTACTTGAGCCAATCGTCGAACGCGAGCCCGATTCTCCACCAATCAAACAGAAGCAAGGTGATGAGTATGTTTAGTCAACACGCTTACTCTGCGTAACACGTGAAGTAACAGTAGCAGCAACAACAACAGCAGCAGTAGACTAATTGAACAACTCGGAGCCAAGCGAAATTTACCAAAAAGCATTTTATCTTTGGATTAAATAACGAGTGTTGGATTTATTGTTAACTATCAGAAACGTATTGTCTAATTGCAACTCACGTTTTTCTTCAATCTCGCAACCTCAAATATGTATATATCTTCTGTTTTAAATACAAATTGAATATTTAAACGACTTGGAGGACCCACTGTCATCTAATTATCAAAAGTTATTTATTTATTTGCATCAAATAGCAAACTTTATGATAGCTAACATTAGCCCTTTAGTTGACTTCCGGCTTCACAGAATGGAGTAACATCCAAGTCACAAAAAATCGAGAGGGAGGAAGAACAGAGGTGTGATTCACAGATGTAAAAGAGACGGTCACAGAGATAAAGTTGAGGTGTGGTGAGTACTGTGGAAATTGTGTAATATGACATACCGTGGGATCATGGTAACTTGAAGTCAGGAGTCAGCTGTCGATTTATAGACTTTTGCCTTATGAGTATACGTTTGCCAAGAATGCACCACGTGGAATTAAGTCTATCGCACATCCCAATTATCACAATTAATGTGCTAATTAATAAATCGCACCCCCCCCCCCGGGATCCAAATAGGATAATTTTAGCATAGTTTCAAGATTTGGTACTTCCATTTGAATGATCTGCGTAACCCAACTGCTAATGCCGTACAATTTGTGCTTTTATCTTCACGTGTCGTATCACATATCGTCTTCGAGTTTATGAGACTTTAGATACAATTTTATCTTGTGTTATTCTCCGTAGAGCAATCATGATTGGTTGTGCATCCAGTATTTTCTCTACAGGCAGTAAAATTCTTCTTAACTTGTGCAAGTATTTTTCGATAGTCCTGACAAGCAAGTCTAAAGCGAATGGGGTCGGGTCTGATTCGAAATGTAACATGAGGCTGGAAAATTGAAATTTACAGAAAACCAACTGAATGATGGGGGGGGGGAGGGTTTGTTGAGCATGCCCTGGAAAAATCTGCTAGTGATCACTGTTACAAAAATCGATATTCGTACACATACCTGCTGAACCATGAATTTAAGTCCATAATCTATAACAATTTTCGGTTAATTAAAGGACCGATTAGCTCGTTGAAATTAATATAAATATACTATAACCATATACTACATCATCTTAATTTTTTTATTCTAAGTGACTGCAATCACGGTTGAGTGATTACTATCGCAAACGTCAAATTATTAGAAACTTTATTCGACAATATGTGTCTGTGAACAGAGCAATAAGGATGTGAATAGGAGTAAATCGAGGCAGAACTTAGAATGAAATATGGATATCGAATAAGCTTTTCTCGGAGTTAAAATGTCAGAGATTTCTCCCTGGGGTCTTAACTGAAGTTAT